AAAAAATAATTCAGTATTTTAAATTTTTTCAATATTTTTTCTTTTTTGCACATAATTTTTTTTTTTAGTTTTTTCAATTTGAAAGTTGATATTTTAAAGTTTTGAAAATCAAAATAAATATCAAATCATCATATTTCTGTATAGATAATCATAAATGATGAACAATCATCGTTTAAATAATAATTTCGATTATTAAAAATTTAATGGGATTTAAAGGTCCAAAATATCTTAATTTGGATTTAATGAAGTATAAGTTCATAAATTAGGGCTTGTGTATAAATGTCCGAAAAAAAATTGACTTCTAAAAATTACCAAATACTACCTCATAAATATATTTTAAAAAAAATGTCATTTTTATCTTTTCACAATCCTATATTATTCTCAAATTTTAATTTTCATCTTTGAATCTTTCAATTTTCAATTGATGGATATTTAAAATAAAAATAAAAAAAGGTCAATATTTCTCACTTTATTTACAATTTTTTTAAAAATAAATATAAAAGTGAAAAAATATCTAATCACATTACAATAAGTTAATATTAATTGATAGGGAATGAAAGATAAAGAAATTATTTGAAAATAATAAACTATTTAAACAATTTATCATTTCTTACATACAATTAAAATGAAATTTTACTTGAAAAAAAATTATTTTAAAATAATAAAATACTCAAATAATTTGTTATTTATTACATCTAAAATTTATATCTCCATCTTTGTTTCTCTCATTTAAATTATTTTTATTAAATTAAATCTTAAAATTAATTCAAATAAGAAACATGGATATTTTTTCTTACTTTCATTAATGATTGATATTTTTTTTAACTTATAAAAGTTCAATAACTTATAGGGGGAAAAAATACAAAGTCAAGGAATTACAAAAAAAAAAATAAAATAAAATAAAAAAATAAAATAAAATTGTAAGAAATAAAATGATAATTTAATATATAGATAAATTATGAATAGTATTTAAAGGGTATTATGTTCATTTGCACAACCAAGTTAAATTAACGGGAGGGGAGCTTCTATTAGCACCCCAAAAAGTAGGTTAGATATCCCATTACTTTGAACAACCAAATAATAAATTTGAAATTTTATTTATTTGTTTGGACACCCCAAATAATACCCATTCTAACCTTAAAAATCCTAAAATCTTATACAAATCTACTTTGTACACCTCACTACCAATAAATAGAGGAACAAAAATCACATTTGGGGTCTTTGGAATTCCAAGTAATGAAGAGAGATTCTGGATTCATTTGAGATGAAGAGAGTTTCCGAGACAAAGAGGGTCTCTGTTTTTCTATACAATCTGACCATTTTGAGTTCTAGTTGTTCATATGGATACAAAACAAAATATATTTGTCTGAATACTTAATTCATAACATGTGAAATTTGTTCAGATACTCAGTGCCGAACACAAAAAAATTGGTTCCAATTGTTTTATATGAATACTTAATGCCGAACATAATATATTTGTACAGATACTTAATTTCAAACATGTGAAATTTGTTCGGTTGCTCAGTGTCAAACCAATTCGGAAAACCAACCTATGAAAACAATGAACAATAATTAAAAACTTTTTTTCTCTATACAAAAAATTGCTTAAAAACGTATTCTTTACTGTCTATTGTTTATTTCAAAATGAAATAGAATGTAAGAATGATAGATTAGAGTAAATAGGGTTAGGCTAAGGTTGGATATGAAGATGCAAAGTGATGAATGTAACGCCCTCAAAAAAATAACATTAAACTCATCCATATAGGGACATGCATTGATACATAAAGGTCCACATCCATCTATTCATCAGGGTATTTCATTACAACAGTATTACATGTTTACAACACAAAAGCAAATGTCCTACGGGTTTACAACTTTCCAAGTTAACACTTGGTTACAAAAGAGAGTGCTAACTCAATTACACCTTAAGCCCTTGGCTTAAAACTATATGTAATACAATCAAGGAAAATAAGACAGCCAAAGTATGTTCGCCTCTAGCCTCCCAAGCTATGTCCTTAGAGATGGCATGCTACCTGTACCTGAAAATGATGTCCTCATATAGGGTGAGCCACAGCCCAGTAGAGATATACTAAACCAACTATGAACAATGACTAAGAGATTAGCAACTGGTAGATGGTCAACACTTACACTTCCATTTACATCTTATTACAATTCCATGATGGTCAAGTCTAGGTTACAATTCAACTTCCATTTCTTATTCAACTTTGAGTTTGAAAACAAGGTTCAACACTTTGGCCAAAACATTTGATGAGACTATAGTTCATCACTAGAACATTTTCGAAATTCAAGGTGGATACACATTTTGGTGTTGTATCAATAACACATAAACTACTTACATACTTCACAAACGATGATGATATACATTTTAGTGCTATATCAAATCAAACAAACTTTCAATAGATAAGCATATGAGCTATATCACTACTACAACAGATAAGCATATGAGCTATATCAATACTACAATAGATAAGCATATGAGTTGTATCAACACTTCAACAGATAAGCAAATGAGTTGTATCCTCACTACAATGGGAGAGCATATGAGCTGCATCCCTGGGTCCATCCCCCATCTTCCCTTAACCATTAACCGGTTTAGAGGTACATCCCTCATCTTCCCCTAAACCGTGGAGTACGTCCCCTATCTCCTCTCATACACAAGTAATGCATATAAACACAGAATCACATACGCAATCAATCAATACATAAAGTTAATGTATTCTATCAACTGTCTACACATAATGCATATAGACATATTGGTCATATGCACAATCAACCAATACATAAAGTTAATGTATTCTATCAACCGTCATACTCTATGACACATCCAATTGATTAGATTTAGTTTGCCTAATCATCATGCATTGTCTACAACAATCAAAACTACCCTCCACCGGTAGTCCAAGCAATTATTTCTAAACAGGTAATAAAAGCTCCAACAGATAAAATATCAATGTGAGCAATAAAAGATTCGTCTACACTCTTTAGTCACATACATTCTCAATTTTAACATTCTCAATTCAATTCCTCATTTTCTTCAATTAATCGTATGCATTAATTAATTAATCCAATTAGGGCAAATCACCATAGTTCACAAAACAACCCTAAGGTTCCATTTCCATCAATGTCCCAACATTAATCTCATTTCTCTATGCCTAACATGCATATAGGTTTATATATTTAAAACCCCAACTTTTGTAAAATTACACAAAGGCCCAAACTTTCTCAAAATTACCCAACAACCCCCAAACATATCAAAATGCTAAAATTCAAAGACAAAGCTCATAAGATGGAGTAGGTTATTCCTACCTCGAATGATGGGACTCAACGAAGGAGATAAAGAAATGGAAATGCTCCAAATCCTGAAATTTTCAGATTAAAAGATAGCCCTCGACGATCAACACAACTTTTGTAAAGGCCCAAGATGATAAAACAACTCCTACTAGACCAATCCTAAGAGAGAAGTTAGGGTTTTAGTGAGAGGAACTCTCAAAATAGCTTTTTGGAAAAGTAAGAGAGAGAAAGGATATTGAAAAGTGAACAAAATGGTCGGATCTCGGCTTTATATAAAAGTCGCCCCGCTCGAGTGGCAAAATCCCCGCTCGAGCGTTACTCACAGATCCCCGCTCGAGCGTCCAATCCCCCACTCGAGCGGCGGATGCACGCTCCCAGAACTTTTACAGACATGGTGCCCGCTCGAGCGTCAAACTCCCCGCGCGAACGTCGGACACAAACTCCAGCTCGAGCGGCCAATCCCCCGTTCGAGCGTCTACCACTGCAGACGAAATACTGGATGGGTGGTTTCCCGCTCGAGCGCCAACACCCCCGCTCGAGCGGACAAGCAACAACAGAGTCCCGCTCGAGCGTCAAAAGCGCCGCTCGAGCAGAGAGACCAAAAACTGGGCAAAGATTTTACGTTTTAAAACACAACCAACTTATTCCCAACTTGCCCAACACAACCCAAAGCTCAAACACAAAGAGAAAGGGATAGAAAGAGGATAAGACAACAGCACCCTTACGAAACCGAATCCGGATTACAGTTAAGCACGAAAGGGAAAACCGGGATCGCTATAATGAAAGTATGAAGAGAAGAGAGAAAATGAATATTTGCACTGATAATGACACTATAACAAAAAAAGCCTTTGGTGAGAGACTGATTTTGTCTCCAAACATCAAATTTTCGTCACTAAAGTGATCTGCAACGAAAAAATTTGTCACCACATTCGTGGCCTATACGTCATCGCTGAAAGTACCTGGTGACGAAAAACAGTTTCGTCGCTTATTTTTGATTTTTGGCGACGAAATATTTCGTCTCCAAATATTGAATTTTTCGTCCTCTATAACATCAATTTCGTCGTCAAAACTAAATAATATTTTATTTTAATTGTTGTTCACGATGAAATATTTCGTCACCAAATAGATTTTAGTGACGAAAGTTTTCCTCACCAACGATATGAATTAAGGTGACAAAAAAAATTGTCACTAAAATGAGCAGAAAAGAAAATTCTTCAATGACAAAAAACATTTTTGTCACTAAATATTTCAATTTAGCGACGAAATATTCAGCAAATGTGACGAAATTATTTGTTTGGTATTATATCATTAGTGACAAAATTATTCGTCATGTTTTTTGAAAACTAATAGCGACATTTTTTATTTCGTCACTAATAAAAATTAAAAATTTGAAAATGGGGGTACTATTTTCTTTCGAAATTTTTTCTTTTCAGTAACAGTTCCCTGTGCTTTTCAATAACCTGTTCAATAAAATATCTATTACAAATCAATACAGAAATCTGTTCATTTTCATAAACATCACAATCGAATTTCAGTACAATCCACAAAAATATAATATGAATTGCATGCGGATTATAAACATGTCTCCTAATATCCACAAAAAACGTCTACTAATATCCACAAAAATATAATATCAACTGCATGCGGATTATCAAACATGTCTCCTAATATCCAACAAAAACATGTCTACTAATATCAAGAAAAATAAAATATCAAAGGCAGATTACCCAACATGCCCTGTAATACCAACAAAAATAGAAAATTTACAACGCAACCAAAATACATGTAAGGTAAAATGGACAAAAACACAAAATGAGCTACCATCTACCCTCCAAATTACCAAGCATGTCCATATCAAATCTCGAATCTGCAAAAAAATGAAACACAAAAAAAATAAAAATAAAAATGTAAGTTAGGCAATTATTATCTTATCCATAAAATATACAATTTAACATGCATTTTTCGAATTAGTTTTCAAATCGAGAGTTTGGTGCAAGTTCCGTAAGTTTCCACAACTCACACTGGTCCCTCCTGAGGTGTTTGAGTGGTTCCTCGGCCCGTCTCGTGGCTGTTGCACGATTTTGGCCTCCGATGGCCTATTTTCAAGCTCAAGTGTGAAAAAGTACATTTTTCGACTTAGTTTTCAAATCAGGAGTTCCGTGCTAGTTCCGTAAGTTTTCACAACTCACATTGGTCCCTCCCGAGGTGTTTGAGGTGTTCCTCGGGCCGTCTCGTGGCTGTTGCACGATTTTGGCCCCCAAAGGTTTATTTTCAAGTTTAAGTGTGAAAAAGTTCCTTTTTGAACTTAGTTTTCAAACCGGGAGTCCCGTGCTAGTTCTGTAAGTTTTCACAACTCACATTGGTCCCTCCCGAGGTGTTTGAGGTGTTCCCTGGGCCGTCTCGTGACTGTTTCACGATTTTGGCCTCCAGTGGCCTATTTTTAAGCCTAAGTGTGAAAAAGTGCCTTTTTCGACTTAGTTCTCAAATCGGGAGTCCCGTGCTAGTTTCGTAAGTTTCCACAACTCATATTGGTCCCTCTCGAGGTGTTTGAGGTGTTCCCTAGGCTGTCTCGTGGCTGTTGCCCGATTTTGGCCTCCAGTGGCCTATTTTCAAGCTTAAGTGTGAAAAAGTGCATTTTTCGACTTAGTTTTCAAATCGGGAGTCCCGTGCTAGTTCCGTAAGTTTTCACAACTCACATTGGTCCCTCCCGAGGTGTTAGAGGTGTTCCCTGGGCCGTCTCATGGCTGTTGCACGATTTTGGCCTCTGGCGGCTTATTTTCAAGGTTAAGTGTGAAAAAGTGTCTTTTTCGACTTAGTTTTCAAACCGGAAGTCCCGTGCTAGTTCCATGCCTACATGTTGGAATAGTTTTCGACTTAGTTTCATGCCTACATGTTGGAATAGTGCAAATTTCAAAGTAGTTTCCTAATTGGGAGCCACGTGCATTTTTCAGTGTTTGTGATGTTTCTCGGGCTTTTACATGGATAGTTCACTATCTTAGTTGAAGAAGAAATTTCTACTAAATTAACATAGAAACATAATATACTAACCAAGAAGCTTGTCCATCAGAATCTGAACTTTCCCCACTCTCAAAATTTCCCATGATACCTTTCTGCCTCAAACACTCAATGATACTTTGTATCTTCTTGCTTTGTTTCTTCTCTGACTTTTCAAACCTTGCAATTTGTTCATTTTGTTGTGCTATTTGCAGCTCGAGGCGTTGAACATAGTCATTATTTTCAGCAGGTGCAACAGTTGTATTCACAGAAGAAGAAGGCCTCATGCCGAGTCCTTTCACATAACCTGGCCTTGGCTGAAGCACCTTGACTGACAACTCCTCTGGGGTCAAGGGGATCGCACTAGTCTGCGAGAGGTGTTCTTCTTGCATCTGTATCATGTTGTCCTATTAATTTGAAATAAATCAAACAAGTATTAGTTATTCTACCCTACACAACAAAATAAATAATATCATCAAAATTGAAAAGCATTGCCTTGTACATACATAATTAACTTGGCTCTCCGATGAAATCCATTCATGCGTGTCCGAATTGTAGTGGATGGACTTTGCCATTTGCAATTATCTGCTTCATTTGTTTGTCAATGTTAATTCAATGATTTAAATAACAAAGCCTACTAATCCAATAAAATAAATTAGTAGAACGCACCGAGCTGTGTACCTTGACCAGGATTGATTTTGATCCACATCGATGTTTTGTTTTCATTTGCATCCTATTATTCACATTAGCTAGTTGTCTCCTACTGGTGCACGAAACTGTTCAGGTATAGGAACTAACATCTTCCCATCCTTCTTGACAATGCGATGGGCCTGTATGCCGCGTGTCGGGCCACGACCACGTCTGTCATGTGATGCTATAAGGATATAATATTAATTGAGTTAGTAAGTAAACAAATGCAAGTCAAACCTTAAAAACAACTTTGCAAACTTACCAACGATGCTAGATGCAGTCACCTCATCCTTAGGTTGCACATTATGAGGTGGTAAGGGTTGGGTACCGACCTCCTTTGCACTAAAGTGTTTTTTAGATAAAAACGACTTCTTTGCACATGTGGTTCCATGTTTCTGAAATGGGTGTTACTAACAAGTGCCTCTAGGGTACATGAAAAAGACAGAAGAATTGAAGAACACAAGGTGCTTTTAACTGAATTTAATGCAATTTTTATTAAAAATAATACACTTTTCACTTATTTTCAATAAACTTTTTAGCTTAGTTCCAATGTTAAACAATGCCCCAGGGGGACTCTTTAGTATTTGCCTTCTGAAATTTATACAACGAAGACGTGCCTAACACATGAATGACGAATAAAATGAATTCTAAAGAAAATGAGTTATAGCCTGAAATGGGTGTTGTTAACAAGTGCCCCTAGGGTACATGAAAAAGACAGAAGAATTGAAGAACACAAGGTGCTTTTAACTGAATTTAATGCAATTTTTATTAAAAACAATACACTTTTCACTTATTTTCAATAAACTTTTTAGCTTAGTTCCAATGTTAAACAATGCCCCAGGGGGACTCTTTAGTATTTGCCTTCTAAAATTTATACAACGAAGACGTGCCTAACACGTGAATGACGAATAAAATGAATTCTAAAGAAAATGAGTTATAGCAACAAACGAAACCAAATTAACATACCTGGACAAACCTATAAAGGCCGGGAATGGACATAGCATCTGCTCCTAGAAGTTTCAAACCAAAGTCAACATGAGGCTGCAAACTCAGACCAAGAGGGGGAGAGAGAATCAAACTTTTGACAGTAAAAAAGAAACACTGTTACTTATGAAGCCCACATGCAGTTTCGAAAATCTGATGATGAATAAAAATATCCTAAGCCTGTGTCTGCTGATTCAAGGATTTGAAGAGAGATTTAGAAAATGAAAGGAAAAAGGAAAAAGAAAAAGTGAACAAAATTTAGCTTATATTTCATTCACTTTTCCCTCCTGTTTCTTCTCCTTCCACAAATCTTTCATCCTATCCAAACACACCCTTAATCCAACATCTCATCAACCAAAGTTACCACTTTTCATTACCACGTACCTTCTCCATGAGAGATACTAAGATTTTGGCAAGACAAGGAAAAGTTGGGACCAATGGCTTCAAGGTGATACGTGGACAGGCAAATACTTGCAAATCAATCACCTGAAATACTCCAAAGGAACATACAGTCACTAATGAATACAAATAAGTAACGAAGTGTCCTCTCCCGATAAACTAATGTTCATTCATCCACTTACCAAAAAAGGAGAGAGAGAGAGAGCACAAACATTTTGCAACTGTTTGTGCACATAGGTTAGTTTTTCCAACAAAGCAGTTTTACAACTATCAATTTCTTCAACAACAACTAGTTATTTTTAACAACTATCAATTTCTCTATTTAACAAAAAACAAACAAGCGAACACCTGAACACTGGCTCTCAACCCAAATGCCTTAGCTACAACGGTGATGTTAGGATTTCCTGCCCATTTCATGGATGGTTCCATTATCAACTCTTTCTCCTCAGTGAGATACACTTTCATTCTTGGCATGAAATGGCATCAAGTATTGAACATTTTACATTTTGTTTCCCATAAAAACAAGTTACATGAATTCTCACTTAATTAACATGTTTTCAAACCATTGGACCTTACGAATAAATTTCTAAAGAGCTGCAATAATGTAAATTATGCATAGCTTCTCATTGCATCACAATAATTAGTCAAATGAAATACTGGCATAAGAGTGAAACTTCTTCACTCATATTTGTCTAACTTTATGGCACCCAAGTGTGATTGAAACATTGAGAGAAAAGGAAAGCAACCTTGAAAAGCAGGAGATATGGAGCCCAAGCTCAGTGCTTCGAATTCAACTGAATCAATTTTGTATTTTGGAATTTGCTCGGCAATAATGGGCCCTGCTATATTTTTCAGTCTTGCAGATTGCCTGAGGGACCTTAAACCATCAATACACAAAATAGAAACCTCCAAAAATTTTAGTTCATGTCCAAGTAAACATACCTTGTCCAAATAGGGCCACATTGTTTCAATGAATTTGTTAAGCCAATCAACCTGTGCAAAACTAGAACTATAAGAATCTTACATGAATATGCAGCAAGAATGTGTATAAACAATATTTTTAAGAATACTCAATAGTCAATAGGTAGTAGGCATAAGTTTATAGATGCCCGAGTATATTTTTGGGAAGTCACAGGTTACACGGTGATAGTCTGGATTTTTCACCCAGAGAGATATCTCTGGAAGCAACTGCTGCAAAGTTTGAGAGTCTTGCTCAACCAATGGACGAATAACAGGATCCTGAAAAAGTTTCAAAAGAGATGGAAAACCAATAAAAAAAGGTTCAATTATATTAACCACTGGATGTTAGCATCAATTCTATTTCCTTTTTTACTGCCTTATGTATGTATTGGACAAATATGCAGGAAGGACAATTAGGGACAATACCACTCACTAATAGATTGTAACAATACATACAGAAAACAAAATAAATTGACAAAGCTAGAGACATATAATAATGAGTGGAGGTTGAACCAACCAACAGTATCAATCATTTCCTGCCCTGCTGCTCAATACTATGTGAATTTTTAGAGTACAAGTTGGAAGAGAAAATCACATACGTAGTTTTTAATCAGCTCTAAAAAAATCATCTCAAATTGTTTTCAGATGGGGTTGGTGACTATACAATATCAACTTAAAGAAAAATTGAGAAATGTAACAACCCTTGCTTACAATAACCAAACCAAATTAAATCAAACTAAGCTTGTGTCCCAATCAAGTGGGGTCAGTTTTACAAATCCTTTTTTGCCATTCCACTCTATCAAGAGCTATATGCTCAGTCTCGCATATTCATATTAGCATTCATGTTCATAAGGGATTTGATGGAGATTTTTACATGCTAGCTATCGGGCTACCTAACAAACAACCCTCCTCCTTTATCTGGATTTGGGGCCGGCTATATAAAAGATTAAACACTAAGCACAACAGATGAGAAGTCAACCCTTGTGATAACACAACCAACCAATGGACTTATCCTATTTCCACTCTCTGCTAATGTCATTGAAATTGCAACTAGTGACTGGTGAAATTTCTTCTTTCAAGTTTCAAATTTTTTGATCCAACTTTTCTCACTTTATATCACACTCAACTAACAAAAAACCATATCACCTCGACAAAAACCATAAAAAGATGACATCCAATATAAGTCCTACCGCTTTGTGGGAGTCGAATAAGTAGAAGAGTCGGAAGATGCGTACTCCAGAAATTAGATACTATCCGGCTTCATGTTGTGTGACTAGGACGCTGAATACGTTAGGAAGGCCGAATAGACGGAGGTTAGTGGCTCCAAATGAATAAAAAGGAAATGGGATAAAAGTAGGCTCAGGCCCCGAGGCCCAAAAAGCAAGTATAAATACAAGAACCATAGATTTAGAAAGGTATGTACAAAATCACTTGACAAAACTTAGTAAAGAAGCTACCCTGAGTATCTGAACTAACTTGTCCGTCGGAGTGCTAATTCCGGCACCCTCAACCAAAATGTTTGTATCTTTTCAGGTGACTAGTTGAGGATCACCAGCGTCTCCCAAGATCCGAAGAGTATTTCCGAACTACTTCTCCACAATTGGCGCCGTCTGTGGGAATACTCAAATACATCCATGGCAGGCATGACTGAAGATCCTCTGATAGCCACTGACGAGACTGCACAGAGAGGCGACCTCATTCCAGCGAACTCGCTTGGACCAAAAACCATCGCAGCAAGACTTGCCTCGGACCTCTGCTCATCTCCAAACCCAATGCAAAAGACAATACAAGCGACCATGGCACAAGCTAGGCAAACCAAACAGAGGTTGGACAACATCATCGCTGAGAACGAACGCCTTCGTCACGATCTAGCCTCGGAAATAGCAAAATCCAAACAAACGGTGCGCCAGGCTTCTGCGCGACCCCCGAGGGCAAATGATCGATGATCTCAGACCCGACAGCAATAAACTGACGGCCGCCATGCTTCAACAGATCATCTTGAGGAGTTGGTAAAGGACGAACGTCTCCACCAATGCGTCCGGTAGAGTGTGGTCGAAACACCTGCCCGTCCGAAGGATGCATTTTCGCTTGACACCATCTACATGATATACAGCCTGCCAGCAGCCCCAACCGTGCTTGCGATCCAATCACATCCAGGCCCCCAACAGCAACTCACGCCAGCAAAGCGGCCCCGAGAAACGCCAAGTATCACCTTTGACAATTCTGATTTGATTGGTGTAACACTCCCTCACATCGATCCCTTGGTTGTTGAGCTGCGCATAAACCGGTTCACCGTCAAACGCTTTCTTATCGACCAGGGCAGTACCTCGGAGGTTATGTATTATAAAACCTTCACCAAACTCAGATTCAGCGAGTCAGACCTGACTCCGTCTCCTTATCCACTATTCGGCTTCAATGCCACTCCAGAGTACCCATTGGGAAAGATCAGCTTACTCGTTCGAGCAGGCTCCAGAACGGTGGACGTGGAATTCTTGGTCGTCAGGCTGCCATCGCCCTACAATCTCATCATGGGGCGATCATGGTTGCATACCTTGCAGGCCGTCCCAAGCACCTATCATCAACTGCTACATTTCCCAACAGAACACGGCATTGAGCAAATCCGCGGATCCTAGAAATCGGCACAAGCATGTTATCTCCTTGCTGCCAGAACGCCAAATGAACTGCAAGTAAACTCCATCGAGATGCCGAATCGGGAGATCCTGGACGATGTTGGGCGGTATCCAAATGAGAAGGCCACGGAAGATTTAGACCGAGTTGACATTGATGGTAGCCCAAAAAAGTTCCTCATGATCGGCGCCTCTCTAAATCAGGCCGACAGGCAGCAGCTGATCACTTTCTTGCTCAACAACCTTGACGTCTTTGCGTGGACTCCGTACGAAATGCCGAGAATAGACCCGTCAGTTTCACAGCACCATCTGAATGTCGATCTGAAATGTAAGCCGATCATTCAAAAAGGCCGACCGTCAGCCGCGAAGCACACTGCTGCTGTTGTTGAGGAGGTAGACAAACTGCTTGACGCCAGGGCAATTAGAGAAGTCACTTACCCTACGTGGCTCTCCAATACAGTGGTGGTGAAGAAGAAAAATGGGACTTGGCGAGTGTGCGTCGACTTCACAGATCTGAACAAAGCTTGCCCCAAAGACTATTTTTGTCTACCTAGAATCGACCAGCTTGTCGATGCGACGACACGTCATCAACGCATGAGCTTCCTCGATGCTTACAGAGGCTACCATCAAATCGCTATGCATCTAGATGACCAGGACAAAACTGCCTTCCTCACCCCAAGAGGAACCTACTACTACAAAGTTATGCCTTTTGGGCTGAAGAATGCAAGGGCAACCTAACAAAGATTGGTCACCGCCATGTTCAAAGAGCAACTCGGCCACACTATGGAAGTATACATCGACGATATGGTGGTCAAGTCCAAAGAAGAACAGAGTCATATAGCCGATCTAGAAAAGACATTCAGCATCTTACGCAAATACAGAATGAGACTGAACGCCTCCAAGTGTGCGTTCGGAATCGGCTCTAGAAAATTCCTGGGTTACATTGTCAATCACCGAGGAATCGAAGCCAACCCGAGGCAATCTTGGAACTCAGCTCCCCTCATTCAGTAAAAGAAGTCCAAAAGTTGATGGGGATGGCCGCTACACTCAACAGGTTCATCAACCGGTCTACAGATCGCTGCCGACAATTCTTTCAGACACTACGGCAGGGTAAGGCTTTTGAATGGTCCGCCGAATGCGAATCAGCCTTCAACGGACTCAAGACCTACCTCCGTTCAGTACCTCTCTTGACAATACCCGCCGCTGGTGACCCGCTCATCCTATATCTGGTAGTTTCCGATAGGGTCGTCAGTGCTGTACTGTTAAAAGAGGAGGAGGGGGAGCAACGGCCAGTTTATTATGTGAGCAAGGCAATGGTTGACGCCGAAACACGCTACCTTCCGCTGGAAAAACTCATCTTAGCCCTAGTCATGGCGGCAAGAAAACTGATGCATTTTTTCCAGGGACATAACATTGGGGTGCTAACAGATTATCCCCTCCGATCAGTTCTATGGAGTGCAGAAGCATCAGGACGTGTTTCAAAATGGGCTCTTGAACTCGGTCAATACGACATTCAGTTTTTACCTAAAACCGCAATCAAGGGGCAGGTGTTGGCCGACTTTGTTGCCGAATTCACAGGCGAGCTTGCCAGCCTCAAACCTGATGAAGTTCGACCGAAGGCTGAAGTTCTACCAAAGCCGAATTGGAGAATTTATGTCGAGGATATTTGGCAATTATACTGTGATGGATCATCTAACCAAAGGGGCAGTGGCGCCGAGGTTGTAATCATGTCTCCAGACGGTGCAGTAGTTGAGCAGGCCGTCAAGCTTAGCTTCGAAGCATCAAATAACGAAGCCGAATACGAAGCCCTTCTAGCCGGCCTGAGGAATGCGCACCTTCTTGGCACTCGGCGTCTGCTTGTGTTTTGTGATTCAAAATTGGTAATCAATCAGCTAAAGGGGGAGTACACGGCAAGAAACGACCGTATGGCAGCCTACATGAAAACGCCCAATTCCTTGCTGGCAAAATTTGACCATCGAAGAAGGTTTCATCCCGGAGCCGAGTATTGGTCCTTCTGAGGAAATCCACATCAACGTTATAGAATCCGCACCAAGCTAGATGGACCCTATTGCTGCGTTCCTCTCTTCTGAACAACTCCCAGAGGACAAAAAAGAAGCACACAAGTTGTGGAATAAAGCCCTGCGATACTATCTGGATCCGCAAAGAGGGCTTTACAAAAAGTCCCTCTCTGGTCCATATTTGGATTGCGTGCACCCTGACAAAGTGTAGGAGCTTCTGACAGAGATACATGAGGGCAGTTGTGGTGCCCATTCT